CCACTAACTTTTTTCTTTTTCCTTCCCCTTGTTATATATATATATATATATATATATATATATATATATATATATATATATATATATATATATATATATATATATATATATATATATATATATATATATATATATACCCCTCTCGCTGTTGAGTTCTTTCCCTCTCCCCACCCAGCAGTGTTTCTTCCAGACTTTTTTCTCCGGGGGGGGGGGGGGCGGACACTTGAAATTTTTTATTGGGGAGGGGGACGAAATTTCCCGGGGGCGAGAACTGTTAAAAGTATTTATATTTTCTATATAAATTCCATTTCGTTTAGGGGGGCAGTAGACTCTCTTCGAAGAGATGCTTGGAAGAAACACTGCCACCAGGATTCCAACACTTTCATTTTACCTTTACCCCTTCTTCGGGTTATTCCTTTGAATTTAGTATTACATATGTGACATACATGTAAATACTCATCATGTACATTTGTAAAATCCTTCGTTTTCATTCGATGTTTGAAAGTATGTAAAATATGTTGATATTGATGAATTTGTTTTAAATGGCAAATAAAAGAATTTAAAATAAAATTTAAAATATAAAAATAAAATAAATCAGTTTACCTGAATATAGTCCCCCGTACAGTTATGTTTTTATATTTTTTTTCTATAGCAAAATGGACGCAGAACAGTGGGTTAGGGAAAAGGATACACAACTACAATGTAAGTAGCAACACAATTTACGTTGCTTATAACTTAGACCATCACCATTTTTACTCCATTTCATTCCTTAAGGAACATAGGACCTCTATTAAAGCATGCCCCCTCCATGGTTTCCTGCATCTGTTTATAACATTGCTATAATTACTCGAAAAACTGGTTAAAATGCTTCTGTTCTTTATCAAACCATATCAAATGAGTATTTTAGTATTGTTAAGTAAAATAAACCCGTTGGCCATTATGTTGACCACGATATCCCTTTATATCCCACGTTCAAGGAAACTCGTGGTGTCTACTGAAGTAAATATCATACTATTAGTTCCTTGCAGAACATGGGGGTCTCTAGTGTCAAAGCTTTCCACTCCTGCCTCTCTTTTCATCGGTTCCCAATCCCTTCCTATTATTTCGTTCTCTCCATCACGCTACGTCGCCAAGTGTTCCTGGGTCGACCACTGGTGTCTTGCCTTTGGGGTTCTACTCAACAGCGTGTCTAAGTCAATAGCCAGAGTCTTCCCAAGCATGTGCCTTCTCCATGACCTGCCTTTCTATTATTTCCATACGTATTCCACAGTTTCTCGTTTTCTACCTACTCTTGATATATATATTTTTATATACTCCTTAGTCCTCAATTAAAGTCTGAATTATTTTTCTTGTTGCATCTGATGTTTTTCATGTATAGGATTCATATAGCATGACAGCTTTTACATTGATATTAAAGATTCTTCTTATAGTTTTTTAGAGATGTTTGACGAAGTAATATAATTCCCGTTTGATATAAACAGTAAAGTGTGTTTTTAGAAACGTTATTCGTGTTTAAATATTTCATGTAACATTTTCCCCCAGCGCCCGAAAGTTGCAGAACACCAAGAAACGATGACGACCCATCACATGACCCATCTTCAGTGGAGGATTCAGAACAGATCTATGAAGTCCTATCAGAGTTTACCTTCGATAAAGACATCTCCCCTCTGATTGAAATAGATAAATGCAGTCCACAATTCAGGGGCTTGTTGGCAGTAAACACTACACATGATAAGGACAAAGATACAAAGAAACATTCCAATGAAACCGGAGACAATGAAACCTATAAACCTGTTGTGTTACAAAATCAAAGAATTACAATCAATTCTGAAGAAGAAATGCAAGAGTTCTATGAAAAAATCGACAATATAGGCGACCAGCTTTCCATAATATTTTCTGACCCAACAAAACGGAATTTGAAGAAAATGCCTGTTAAAAAATCGAAATATTTAGTTGCCCCTGAAAAAGATTCGCATTTAAGCATTGGAAACGATTTGCACAATTTTAGAGTTTCAGATATTTTGCAATATAAAGTTGAGGTCAAGGTCATTAATGGCCGACTTGCAGAAGTCAAAGTTCCTTCCCTGAAAACCTTTTCAAACCTCCCAGAGGATATGGAAACCCCGAAACAAAACGAGGAAGTTCCGTACTGCGGCTTCAAAGACATCAACAAACTTATCCCCGAGACACCGCTACCAAGTCCAATAGAGGAATCTAAATACAACACCCCCACCCAAGACAATGATAAACACATCTACGAGGCCGTCTTACACAAGCAGAAAATTGACCCCGCATGTTTAGAAGGTGAAACCCGTGAAGATGAGGGAGTAGATTTCAACAGCGATGGGTGTGAATACTATTCAAGAAATAGAACTTATTCAGACCGATCTATGGAAACAGAGTCTGTTGAATATTTCGAAATGGATGGTGCAGTAGGTGTATTGTCCTAATATAATGATACACACACATACACAAACATAAATATGTGTATTTATATATATGTTTATATACATATGCATATAAGTATATACATATATATGCATATAAATATATATAAATATATAAATACATATATATATATATATATATATATATATATATATATATATATAATATGTGTATATGTATATATATATATATATATTATATATATGCATATATATATATATATATATATATATGATTGTATTATTGCTGTAAACTTTTTCTTAGTCGTTGTATATTTTGAGGTTTTTTGTTTCTTTTTGTAAGAGAGCAACTGGTTGTAACAACAGATTAATCGACGGAAGACAACTTTGAGATTAGCCGAGTAAAATACTTGAACTTGGCCCGACTCAAAGTTGACTTCCGTTTACATCGAGCTCTTGTTTCTAATGGAGGTCACTGGCTTGACAATGGTGTGTTATAACACAATGTGTTGGCTCGCTTCGTGTGACAAAATTCTCTCTCCCTTTCTCATCATCCCGTCCTTCTCATTTAAAAAAAATGTTGTCTCCCATATTCCAGCTTTCCCATTATCTATTATTAAATTATTTTTTGTACGATACTTTTTTTATACTTAACTGCTTAGTGGGATGGCTTATCATTTTGTTATACTGTGGTTATGTTTTAGTCATTATCTTCAATCTTATATGTACTAAGTTTTGTTTATTTGAATTCTTACTGAACATTGTTATATAATAGTGTAATAATGAACATACAATTTTTTCAAACCAATGTCAGAACTAATTATAGAAACTGCTGGTGTAAAAACCATATATTGTTTTGGAAATAGGCGTACCGCCTCGCAAAAAAATAGAGTGTATCTGTTAAACTGAACTCGATGAAAAGTCGATCATGTGGTCAAGTAGGATATATATTTGAGTAGGCTTGAGCTAGAAACCTATCAGATTTGATTGAACTCGGTTGCAAACTATTGACTGGTTTTAAGTCAACTACTACTTTTTCCAATTCTACTATGTTCAATAATATAATATAATATTTAATAAAATGAAATTTATTTAATTGTATTGTTTTCTTAGTTTTTCAGTTTTTTAGGCAAACATTTATTTTAAATTAAAAGTTGAACATTGACATTGATTTCGGTCTTTCTTTGTGGCATTATCATATCGACTGCTAAAAAAAACATTAATCGGAAAAATATTGTTCTATATATTTGTAATAATATAATACAATATTAAATTAAATTAATTTTCTTTAATTGTATTGTTTTCTTTCTTCGTTTTTCTTTTTTTTCTTTTACTTGAGGCAAACATTTATTTCAAAAATTAGAACATTTACTTGGTGCATTAGGCTAAAACAACATTACCATCAGTGCATTAGAGTGTTTGTGTTGTGCTTACTGTGTAAAAAACAACACGGCTGAACAGGACAATAAAGTGGAATTTATAGGGCAACTTGTGATTAAAGAATTAGGCGAAGTAGGCCGGAATGTCATGACCTCATTTAGAAAAACATTTGTATTATAGACATGGTTTGTTTAGCCTTGATCCAATATTTACTGAATATAGAAAAAAAAAGTTAGAAAATTATTGTTTAAAAATGTATTCAAACTATAAAATAACCTAGCGTTTGGCGTAGTCGGGTTGGTAAAGCAAATAGCTCCTAAACCGAAAGTAGGCAAGTTCGATAGCTCGGGCAAACAACTTTTGTTTGTTCTTATACGTGCAGACAATGGAAGCGAATCTAAAGAGATAAGCAGGCTGAAATCTGAGTCAACGGCCTTTATGGCGCATAACAAGTCCACACGTTTTACTTAATTGTGCTGGAGGAAACCCCTTCTAGCAATACAATTAAGAAGTAGAAGAACATAAAAAACGCAAAAAAAATGGTGTGTCTTTCTGCAATAGGAAATCCCGTCTAACAATATAATTAAGAAGTAGAAGAACATAATAAACGAAAAAAAAACAAGTGCTTTTTTTCTGCATTATGTTAGTATTTTTGACACTTACTAAAAATATGCAACTGCGTTTTACTAGTGTACTACGGGTAATATATTGTTTACTTTTTAAAGAAGACGTTTCATATCGTTTGCTAAAACCAGCCTCCCACTAGCTGTGTTGTTTAAGTACTGTGTAGTGACGGGACTGTTGGAGGGAACATTGTACTAAACAGTCCTAGTCATAAAGTTGTTTATTCACGGATAGTCGCATCCGGTCCGGGGGTTAAGCGGCTTGTTGTGCTAGGGCACGCGTTGACTTAGATATGAGCAGTTAGTTTAAAGAGGATCATTGTTCTATTTTAGCGGATTAGTGTTTTAATTTAGCATTTTTTAAATTAATGATACACAATGACGAAAGTTTAATAACTCGGTCAATCTTTTTATGTGTGGGTTTAGCAATTTTTGGCGTAGGCGCTTTTGAAATTTGTACACGAAATTTGTATGCATGCTATATAAGGATTGAAATATTGTATTTTTCTTTAAAATGCGTAATGACAAAAGCTCAAAGTAGTAAATAAGTGAAGAATAGCCTTGTGTGAAAATATTTGCGGTTATGTGCTTTTATTTAGTTTTCATGGTGCTTTTATTTAGTTAAAATTCAGACTTGTGTTTGTAATATTATCTAAAAACTGTGTTCAAGTATTTGAAGTATTCAAAATGTTGAAAAATCAATCACCACGTTTAAAACGTTGTAAAGATGTTGCGGTTTTTCTACTGCTGGCGACTATAGCCACATTTGGTCAAGCAACTAAGCATGCAGGTAAGTTATTTTTAACTATTTATCGTCGTGTATATCTTAATCATTTGACAGGGGCGTAGCGAGGGGAGGGGGGTGCGGGGGTGCGGATCGCACCGGATGACACCATTTAGGGGGGTGACACCAAGGCAAAAAATTGCTAAATATATAGAGAAAAATTGAGGGGGGGGGTGTTCAAATCGAAAGTTTGAGGGTGGGGTTGCAAATCGAAAACTTGAAAGTTTGTTTCCGGGAAAGGTCGAAACGCCTCTGGGGGGTGACACCATTAAGTGCCGCACCGGGTAACACCCGACCTCGCTACGCCACTGTCCTTTAATTAAACTTGAGCAGAATTGCATAAAATTATACATATTTCAACTGTCATGCGATTAATGCTTCAGCATTCTCCTTCCTGCATCTCAATGTGCTTAGATTCTCGAAATGGATGTTTTTTTGAAAAAGACTAAAAATAAAATCACACTAAAAATTGAAAATAATTTGTAACCGCGCCTCATTTTATCACTCCTTTACCTCCTACATATAACTAACATTTCACATTATGTGTCACCTCAGATTTAAAGTGGATCACCGCTTTCTCGGCCAATAACCAAACCTCGGTCGAAGGCTACGTTTTTAACGCAATCTATGTTGACAAGGGGAGGTCAGTGACGTTTACCTGTATCATACGTAACAGTACACCCGGACTTACCATTAGCATCAGAAATGAGATGGGCAATGTGCTGGGCAAAGCTCTCAATAGCTCTTTACTGGTGGCTACTCTACCAATCACAGTGTGTAACGATATTGGAAGGTACAGCTGTGAGGTTAGGGACTTGGTTGAGGGAAGGAATGAATCATTTGATCTATACATGATGGTGGATGGCTGTAAGTACAAAAGAGGTTATTGGAGAATAATTAACTATATATATATATATACATATATATATATATATATATATATATATATATATATATATATATATATATATATATATATATATATATATATATATATATATATATATATATATATATATATATATATATATATATATAATCGTATTTACTAACCTAGCTAAATAAATAGAATAAATATCATTTTTTGTTGATATTTTACTGTCCATAAACGTGTACATATCAAAAATGTATAATTTAAACCCTGTTTTTCTGTTCTTAGGCTCTGATAAGCTGTGCTACAACGAGGAACCAATAAAAACAGTTTACGCGGCCGTCAACGATACAGTCGACATCGAAATTTGTTGCATCGCAAACTATAAACACTTCACCGGCATCGACATTGCAATCAACGGCGTGACATTTAAAATGAATGACTCGGGGAAAAAATTCAAGTTTAATGTTGAGCGTAATGAGCCTTCTCCATTTCACTACATTGTCCATGTAATTGTGGTGGACATCCAACGTAAGGACTACGGGATACTGAGATGCGTTGTTCACGCGAACCCAAATTTCCCTGTGAAATATGAACTGCATCTTAAGGGAATAGGTAGGTTCACAGTCCATATCATTGGTGTTGTTTGTATATTATATGACGGAAACAGAATGTCAGCTGCCATATTGCCGTCTAAAAATAGATTATTTTTTAAGTCTATGTTATCGTTTCAATTCATACATGGCTATAAATGGCTGGAGCGAAGCCCAGGCGATATGCTTAGTTTCATGTATAAACAAAAATAGTATATAAAATAGGTATTCCATTTAACATATTTACCCAGGTAATTTATACAAAAGTTGTTTATTCAAATTATTTACAAAAAAATAATCCAAAATGGATCACATTTAAATTATTTACTAATGTAATATATAAAATGTATCTCATGATATTATTTACGAAAGTAGTGTATGTTGCCTTCATGTCATAAAGATTCAGTTAGTGAGAATAAGGCAAATGAAGTACAATTAACCTGTTTCTAAAGTCTTCGGTACGTAGAGACAAAATTGCAGATTAAACACAGCGAATAAAAGACACATATTTTTTATTGTTTTTTAATAATTCTTTTGTTAATCTATTAAAGTAATCCACTTAAAATCGTCAAAACTCGCTAAAATCTTGTGCTGCGTATGAAAATATCCTAAACCCGATTTTATAGATATGGTATATATATGTTGCTGACTGCTAATTTGAAGTGGTCAGTGTTTTTTAGCATTAAGTCTATAGTATACCTCGACGATAAGCCAACACCGTTCAAATTCAGCTATAACAAATAAGCAATAGTTATTGATTATAAAATCAAATCAATAATATAGTTAAAGTTGTATTTTGTTAACACAATGCTTATTTGAAGTGGTCAGTGTTTATTAGCATTAAGTCTATAGTATACTTCGTCGAAAATAGCCAACTCCATTTTAAATCAGCTATAACAAATAAGCAATAGTTATTGATTATAAAATCAAATCAATAATAATATTGTTAAAATTGTATTGTGTTAACACAATAATTTCCAGGAGATGAATGCCAAAGGGGCTGGTGTAAAGGTGCTGAACAATGCCTACAGTTGCAGACTGCACGAGCTACGCATGAACAGGCCAACACGACGTGTGCTTTGTACGGAGCTCAGTTGTTTAATGGGGTCCTCGAGGACCAGGACCAAAGGTGTATCTCAGGTATACCGGTAGACGTAGGACATTTTTAGTATACGGGTTAAGAATTACCTTAAGGACCAGGACCAAAGGTGTATCTCAGGTAAACCGGTAGACGTAGGACATTTTTAGTATACGGGTTAAGAATTACCTTAAGGACCAGGACCAAAGGTGTATCTCAGGTAAACCGGTAGACGTAGGACATTTTTAGTATACGGGTTAAGAATTACCTTAAGGACCAGGACCAAAGGTGTATATCAGGTAAACCGGTAGACGTAGGACATTTTTAGTATAGGGGTTAAGAATTACCTTAAGGACCAGGACCAAAGGTGTATATCAGGTAAACCGGTAGACGTAGGACATTTTTAGTATAGGGGTTAAGAATTACCTTTTTTTTTAAAACGAAGTGACAACGCGTCTTGCAGAGCGTTACGAGTATTGTTTAATTAAATTCCGTATATCGTATTCTAAAAATAGATATTGGGAAAATTATTCAATGCCCTATACGGCCTCCTATACATATATAACTTTTAAAGTGGAATATACAAATTCAGATCCAGTAATGGATAATCTACTACGTACCCATCAATAGGCTACATTATGTTTGGATTAGGATAAATAAATTTATAATTCGACCTGCGGTAAGAAAATGAAGCAGTGTTTATTTCCTTTTTTTTGGGAATATGCATCTTCTCTTCTGATTTAAAATGCTTTATTTTTCTTCTATCACATCGGATGTGGTTGGGTCAAGAGTGTGGCAGCTGAAATTCAAAATCTCGGAGCTCGTGATAGTCTATCTAGTCTATATTATTAAGCCTATGTGAACTTAAAAAACATGACCAGAATTAGGTCTGTTTTTTTCAATTTGCTTGAAAGGGGTGGGGGAGGAGTGTAGACACCGACTTGAGTTCATTCTATGACGTGTGCTACAGGCCTGCTGAACTCACAGTGACCCCGCCGACTGTGGTTGGGATCTTTTCGCCAGTGGGATAGAAAACGTAAGCAAGCAGTCACCGAGTGAAGATGTTTGGAACTTTATTTTAAAAAAAGGGGGGTTGGTAGGGCTTAGGCTAAGGCTAGGGCTATGGCTATGGCTAGGTTACACCACCCACCTCCCCGCCCAAGCGGCCCTCTGTAAAAAAAACTTTTTACAATCATTATACCACTGTTACTTATATAAATCTTTATTTAAATCTATTTCTGAATCAGTATATATGTATCATTATATGTGTATGTTAAAACGGCTACAGTGCTTTACATCAACCCCCCCCCCCAAGTATTTACTCCCCAAAGCAATTTACCCCCTGTCAATAATTACCATCTCTTGTCAACCCCCCTCCCCCAAAGTAAGAATCTTAACTGTAACTCAAATTCTAAACCTATATAATATTACATTAATCCTAACCTTAAGTTAAGAAAAAGACAAAAACCTAAGCATTCACCTCAGACTAAAACTTAACACAAAACCATAACCAACTCAAGACATTTGTTTAAGCATAACCTTGACCATTAGCCCTAATCTTAGCCCTGACCCTAACCCTAACCCCAGCCCTGACTCTAACCCTAACACTGACCCTAACACTTACCCTAATCCTAAACCTAAATAAACATAAATGAGCCCTCAACCTAGCCCTAGCCCTAAACCTATCCCTATCCCTATCCCTATCCCTATCCCTAACCCTAACCCTAACCCTAACCCTAATCCTAACCCTAACCATGGCCCTAAACCTAACACTAACCCTAACCCTAACAAGTTTATTGAAGGAATTTTTCTACTTGTAGTGGATAAATGTATCCCAGCAAGTGTAGACTGACCCGTCGGTCGACCGGGAAAAATCTCGATAGGGCCCTGGGTAATTTATTTTTAAATTGTTGGTATTTTACGATTCCCTCATACCAACGCATACACTGCTGGCTTCGATGACAAAAACATTTTCTATGAAGATTTTAGGGTTCGGATCCATTTACAAAATTCCCCGGGGCTTTCTTATCTCAGCCAGCCCACCACTGTACATAATTAATGTAATTACTGGTTCCATTGACAGATTTGACAAATGGCTCTTTGGTCAGCGTGAAGACATTTTTATTGAACAAAGCATTCTGTCTTTTTCACGACATTGGAAATTCCAACTCCTCACTTGCTAGCTGTGACGACCATACACCGTACTTGTGCCAGATCAAGTATTGGGGTAATAACGTTTTTCTGTCTGTGTCAATGCTTAGGAAATTTGTTATTCCATGTTGTTTTGTTTTTAAAATTCCGATTAGTGGATTAAATAGGTGTAATTATTTCATCATATACTGTCAAAATGAATACTAGTGTAATAAACCGGGAGTGATCTCCCCTAAACTTTCTCGAATATTCTTATATTATAACACTACGGGAGATGGCACACCACAATATGTTTTAAAAATCGATTTTTAATTACTTAAACTTTTTAAAATAGAATAGAATCTCGTAGGAAAAAGAATTGCGCACTAAGTGAATGCAAAACAATATGTGTATAATAGTGCGAAATATTATTAGTTTAATATATAAAGTTCGATTCTAAAGTTCAATTCGGTATGTATGTTTGTAAAATGTTTGTCGTGGATTTTAAAGGAAATAAAAAAAAAACGATACTTCTATGAATTCAAGTGTTTGATGTTTAAAGTGCTTTTTGTCTAAATTTATGAGTACAAAAAATTAATTTTGAAAGTGTTTTAAAGCAATTTTCATTTTGCGTACTTAAAATAATAATTTTCAATATGAACATTACATTTAAAAAAAATTAAAAATGTATCAACGTTTATAAAATTTCTAATTGTGTCTGAAAATTATTTGCATTTAGTTTTTTAGCGCTCATTACGTCCCTTGATTAGGAAACCACAGTTACTTCCCTTTAACAAAACATTACATCGGGGGTAAAAGAATTTACTTTTTATTACTTTGTGTTGGTGTTAAAAAAATAAATAATTACATAATTAGCGGGATTGATCAAGTGCAATGTTGTAGATATTTTTAATACTGCCTTTTATTTATTCTATACACTGAACGTACTGTTTTCTTCTTCTTATTTTTAATCAAAGACAGTTAAAGTAACAAAAGGCATCTTTATTCGGGAACGAGAATTCCCGCAGGTTATTATTTATGTCTTTTTTTTTTGGCGTTTTCGTTTTTGTCTGTCCTTTTTTGCGCACGAAGGGGAATTCGTTTTTGTCGGTCGCACCAGAAAGCTCTTTTATAGACACCAGCACCAAACTACAAGAAGATATACCATTTGAATTAATACTAGCTGTCCCGGATTGTGTTATGTTTGTCTTTTGTTTGTGTTGTGTTTGTGTTTGTGTTGTAATTGTGATGTGTTTGTGTTTGTGTTGCGTTTGAGTTGTGTTTGTGTTGCGTTTGTGTTGTGTTTGTGTTGTGTTTGTGTTGTGTTTGTGTTGTGTTTGTATTGTGTTTGTGTTTTGTTTGTGTTGTGTTTGTGTTGTGTTTATGTTGTGTTGTGGTTGGGTTTGCGTTTGGATTTGGTTTGTTTTCGTTTGCTTTTTCTTTGTTTTTGAGTTTGTGTTATTGGTTGGGTTTGTTTTTAGGTTTTGGTTTTTGTTTGTATTTGTAATTGATTTGCGTTATGTTTGCGTTTTTTGTTTTGTTTTAGTTTTGGTTGGTTATGGTTAGGGTGGGAAATACCGAGTATATGATGATTACTAAACACACAGGTAATGGTCCTTAACAGATAGTTTTTTCACAGAGGCCAGAGCAGGGCCTGGCCGGCTAGTACTTTATAAATTCACAATTTCGTAACATAAACAGGTTACGTAATTATAGTGTCGATACAAACTATAATAAAAGTTGATAACATAACAATCTAGGCCACATCTTAGTTGAATTTAAGTATCACCAGAGAAAACGGTCTACACTGCATGTTTGTATTTTTTGTTGTTGTTTTTGTTTTTTGTTGTTAACAATGTACACATTTTATTACTACCCACTATACAAGTTTGGCTGATAACCCGAAGGACTCCAGTTTGGATCTCAATCTATCCAGCTATGATAGGTAGCTGATTTATGCTGGGGAAAGTAAATGCTGCTGGGAATACTGCTGATATATAAAATATATGGATAATATGTTTTGTATATTATTACAGGAATGCCTGAAGAAGTTCACTTTCAGCCTATAACTGTTGAAGAAGATGTCGAGCCGAAACAAAACTACCTGGTTATTGGTGTTGTGGCTGCCGTGTCTATCATATGTCTACCTGCCTTGTCCATTTGCTACCTGCGGTACCGGCAGAGAGGTGTGTAAAAAGAACTCGCCTGGTTCCAGTGTTGCATCATGTTTCTAATTAACCTTCTAATTCTTTTCATTTTAGCAATGTTAGAAAAGTAGGCTACAAATCCCTTACACAGATGGAAAAAAGGCTATTATGTTGTACATACTTATTACTTTAAAATTTCATCAAGCATATATATATATATATATATATATATATATATATATATATATATATATATATATACAGTATGTAACTATAATGTATTGTACTTTCACAGAAAGCCAGAAACTACAGATTTCTGAAAAGTAAGCGAATTATTTAAAGAACCTGGAACGTTTTAATTTGAACGACGATATCATTATGTTATCACTTTAGTATAATTTATTCTTCTTTTTATTCGACTTTTTTATTAGCATGCTATAAAACATGAGGGTATAAACGTGTGTGACAGAAATAACAATATAAAATATAAATTCTTTATTTCAGAAAATTGCTGTCTGAATCCGAAAACGTTGACCGATTTAAATGCGAAGGTAAGTGTAATAAAGTAAAACAATTTATTATGAAAAGTGAATACCGAAGATACGTTTATAATATGTTCTAATCACGTGGTACAATGGTTTCACTTTTATCTTCATTTAGTTTTCACTATTTAAATATTACTTTCTTTTTTTTTGTACCCAATAAATACTAATACGTGAATTAAATATTATTTTTTTTATTGTTATCTCAGTTTTAAACATAAACAGATTAAAAATTATGTTTTATTCATTTAACATGGTTGATAAAAGCAGCATAAAATAGTCTAATTTGTGTATATTCAGACCAATCAGTAGCAAGGATTATGTTTGTAAATACAGTGTCGCTAAACACAGAAGTTACTGTTTACATTTTAAACGCATTATTCATATCTACCTACATCAGTGGTTCATAACCTTTTATTGGTGGTACCTCACTCCACCAGTTTCATGTGTGCTTTCACCGGAATCTTATTAATAGTTCGATCGTCCACACTGTAAAAAAAATCCGACCGCAAACCATATAAGCCGGGTGTTTTTCTTGACTTTCGTCGAACACCTGTGATTAACTCCCCGAACCCCTGGGGTTCGATCAAACCCATTTTAAGAACCACTGACCTATATTGAATATGTTTGTTAGTTTATTCCTACTTTTATATATTTCTCGAGGCCTAATTCCAAATAAACCGGGAGTGATCTCCCCTAAACTTTCTCGAATATTCTTATATAACTCTGAATATAGACATGATTTTTAATTACTTAAACTTTTAAAAATAGAATAGAATCTCGTAGAAAAAAGAATTGCGCACCAAGCGAACGCCAAAACAAAATGTGCATAATAGTGCTCAATATTATTAGTACTTTTTAAATTTACATGCGTTTTTTGAGAAATCGGAAATAGCGTAAATTATTACTTCCGTTCAACAGAAATTACTCAAAATTTGACAGAAGGTAAAGAATTAGATCTTTTACTTACATGTGAAATTTCATTTATCTATCTGAAATAGTACTCAAGTTATAGGCTTTTGAAAAATTCAAAGTAGAAAAAGTACCACTTCCGGTTATCGGAAATCGCTCAAAAGTTGATACGGATCTACGATTTTGATAAAATACTTATATATGAAATTTCATCAACCTAGCTGTAACGGTACTCAAGTAATCGTGTTTACACACAGACACACACACAGACACAGACACACACAGTCACACAGACATACGGAAAAGATTGCAGAATTATGTTTTTCCGTAGCAGTGAGGTGTAAAACGTCGAGATTTGTAAAAATCTCGATTTTTTTTTTGCACGATTACAATACTTTCTCTATACTTCGTATATACGAGAAAGTAAAAAAGGTTTAAATTGTAATATATATGTCCCACAAATAATGCTGAGTGTTACGTCTAAATGATCAGTATCATAACAGTATTGTTAAACTACCTAATTAAATAGCATTCCGCAGATGAAGACCAATATCACACGCTTGATGACGTCGAGCATCACATGTACAAAGACCTTGACCACGGCCACGAGTATGACGTCACCGATGACTCCCTTCTCCAGGCTAGCCCTGATCACCGAGACAGCCTCGCCTCGCCACCTCCTATGCCACCAAGACCACAGCAGCAACAGTACATTGAGTTGGGACTGGTCTCCATCAACAAAATCTCTGAAAATATTTCTACAAAAAGTCTGGATCTCTCAAAGAAAGACCCTATTGATACAACATCTGATAGTAATGACAACAATATATGTAATACTGGAAAGTCCATTGAAAAACACGCTGTAAAAATAACCAATCTTAAAATTAGTAGTAATGATAATGAGCATAATACTACACGTATTGATACAGCTAATCAAGAGCAACCATACTCCCCTTTTGTATTTCCTTCACTTAGTATCGATAGTGGTCAGAATGGAAGTCAAACAGAAACATCTATGGATGAGAATCAAGACCTAACACTCATCAACACGGACCAAGATCTTGCGGGACATTTCAATTTCGTTGACGTTCTTAATGTTAAGGTACAGAGTAAAGATGATATAACTTATAATGAGTATGATTCAACAGGCCTTGATACATTGAGGGAAGAACATCAGTATTTCAAATTTCAGAACACCCAAACAGATAACTGTGAGAGCCAAACACAAAATTTGATTAACCAAACTAATACATTAAAAAGCCAAACGCAAAATTTGAATGAACAAACTGATAAATTAGAAAGCCAAACTCATAATTCTAATGACCAAACTGATAAATTAGAAAGCCAAACTCAAAATTGTAATGACCAGACTGATAAATTAGAAAGCCAAACTCAAAATTTGAAGAGCCAAATTATTAAATTAGAAAACCAAACAAAAAATTCTAATGACCAAACTGATACATTAGAAAGCCAAACAGCTAACCTCGAGCAAAAGAATAAATTACTATCTACAAGCGAATCAGATTATTTTGAGTGGGAGGGTTCGGAGGTCAAAACAACTACTGATATGAACTTTGAACCCGACAACCCAAATGACTACCATGTTCTAAATCTAGGTATGAGAGACAGTGTTGTAGATGTTTACATCACCCCAACTGTATCTAACACAGACAGTTCAGAGGTCAAAGGCAAAAACAATCTCTCGCAATCTATAGCCAATGATGAAATGAGAACAGACTGTAAAGATAAGTATAACGATAACCAGAACGAATATATTACGCCGGTTGAAGATTTTCAGGAAAATGAAACAAATTCGGGCTATGGATATTCGGTATGGGATGGTGCCAATATAGCTGATCAGTGTAGTGGCGATGATAATTTGAAAACTACAAGCCAAAACAGCAATTGTGACGAGAGTTATATAGACCCTTTGTTTCACGACTATTACCCGGAAGCAACAAATAATAAATATCTCTATTTAGATGGATCAACTGGTAGGCCTATTATGGAAAGTGCTAATACATCAAGTAAGTCAAAAATTTTACAAGCAGAAGCAAACAACGAAGGCTCACGTCATGTGCAAGATGGCGCCCATAAACCAAACTCATCTCATGTGAGTGGTTATTTTGAATGGGACGGCTCAGAAGCGAAAGGTACACACGATTCACCGATAACTGAGGGTCCAAGCAATGGCGAAAGACCAATATCTGGCTATTCGGAGTGGGATGGCTCTAAACTAGACTATTCGGAGTGGGATGGCTCTAATTTAGGCTATTCGGAATGGGATGGCTCTAAATTAGGCTAATTGGAATGGGATTGCTCTAAATTAGACTATCTGGAGTGGGATGGCTCTAAATTAGGCTATTCGGAATGGGATGGCTCAAAAGTACCAGCTCTTTCTAATAACAATTTAACTCAAAAATGTTCGATTCTGAAAAGTGCAGTGACCCACGACAATTCTTATGAGAACTACATAGACCCAGCATATTACAGCAACAATGAGACACCTCTACACAGGAATAGACTCCTGTACAGTTCCACTCCGATTCAGGGGAGTCGTTACGCATTTGCCTACACTTACGTATTTTCGAAACGACAAACCAGAGGAAAAACAGTAACAACTTTTTTTTATGAAGAAGATAGCGTCATCAACCCACGCCTTTATATTTTAGTGGATTCTTTGAATTGGACGGTCAGATGGTATAGAATGAACCGGTTGAGACTCAAGTTAACAAAAACAACCAATTTGGTAAATATGGGAGATATTTTTCAGAGCTCTCTAAGGAATTCTAATGCTCTAAATAGCATAGATATAATTTCTAGAGGTGCAGAAAGTGTCTTTACTAAATGGGATGGGTCTAATGGACCAAAAGTAGATGGACAAAGAAAGTTGTTGGAGATTTGTCAGAACTCTAGAGAATGACCATAGCAAGGTCATGGAGATTACAGATGGACAAAGTTACGCGGTGCCAGACCGAGCTGATGACCACGTTGTCATGGAATTATTAGGTGTGGTCAAGTGGGCTTAGTGAATTATAAGAAGACATTGCCTTATTAATTACGGCTTTAATTAAAACGCTACTGTGTAATCTTTAAGAAATTAAACAAAATATAACTAAAAGCTTATAGCCTAGCCAAGATTAAGATTAATTTTCGGGCTACTTTCCAATAAAAAGAGGTTAGAGGCTAACTTTTGTAGATGAGAAACAATATCAAAGGGATTGATTTGAAAAAAAAATTCAAAGTGCTTTATGATAAGAAAAACATATAATGGATATTGAAAAATGCTTGTAAATATGTATATACACATCCAATTTATTTTATTTTATTTTCATAATAGGTGAAACACATTAAAATGTACAAAAACACAAGCAAATATATGTTAACTTAATTAACGCAGCAATGTAATGAGAAGCAAAATGTTCACTTTTTAAATCACGCTTACCTGCATAAAAAGAAACGAAAAAAACAAAATAAAAACATGTTAAAAACCCTAGTGTGTCATAAATGGCTAATATTCAACTCTATGCTATAGCTTTCCGTTTACATATTTTAATTTATCAGTGTCTTTAAAAGAATTTTAAATAATTATATTTCAAATATGAATTTGTTTTATAATTGTTACCGTAATGATTGTTATTCTGATTTTGTTATTAAAAATGTAATAAAGCTGTACTTTATATTTTCTAAAAAAAAAAGCTATAATTTCATGTTCTGACAACAATAGACACTTTTATCGCATCTAACGATTATTTACATTGAAGTACTTACCCTTGTATACAATTAATAAATTAATAACTATAAAATAGGAAATAGGTAAAAGAAAATCATGGTCTAGATTATGTAAGCAGATCTAATAGAACAATTCCAATTCAAAATATAACATAATAAAACGTGGGCACAGTTCAGTAAACATAAATTTAGCTTGTAAGTAAGGCAATGTATATTTATTTATCTACAAAATGTACATTTTTTTCTTTTGTTTACAGCGTTAACAAAATATTAAATGCCCAACTTCCAAATATTTTATTTATTAATACATAACTGAAGCGTAAGCAAAAGTAAAAGATACGTGTTTTTATTTTATTATAACTGTAATGCTCATCAATTTGAAATGTTTGGAAAAACTAACATTGTTTGGTCAACTATAATGCTCTGACACAAACATCTTAACATATATGTTTTCTTCATAATGTAAACAATGCAACGCTTTTAAGTGTGCACACATATCAATGGTATAGGCTACTAACTTAACTAGGTAATGACTTGTTTTTCAAGAGTTTAAAAAAATTATTTGTGTTAACATCTTTGTGATTTAATTGATCTAAGAATTAATATTTTCTATTTAATAAAATGAAGCATACCAAATGTTGCATATTAATTATTTCAATACATACATCTTTTGTGAATAGATATATATATATATATATATATATATGTTTTTGTCTGCATAGCAGAAACAATAAATATTTACCACTACATTTAATAAAGGTAAGTTAAATATAAATTTCAAATGAACAATTTAAAAAATACTACTTATAGACTATATACAAATAAATGCCACTTAGTTGGTTTTGTTTTTTAATAAATGTGTAAAGAAAAATATTTAATAGAGTTTATTGTATTTAAGTTGTAGAAAACATTTTATATGTACATTGAATAAAACACTTTGTAAAATACACAATTGTTAATATTTTAAAAATATCAATAAATGCCTTTTCTTTCAAACGTGTGTAATTAATATTTAAAATTAGTAAATAATTTTTTAAATATGTGTATCTATTGCCAAGTGCTTTAAGTTGAGATAGAGAACGCCATTGACTACCTATCTTCCACTATCCCTTTTCCCCGCCTTACTTTAAAATAGCCATGTCATGAGATTAAGTGCTAATTAGCAGCGCAGCTAAGCCACATTTGTAACACATGTATTCGAACTGCCTGATATGGGTTCAGCTATATAAACCATAACAATTCATTTTATTTTATGTTTAATTAAAACAAAATTTCTAACATTTTATTCCTAGAAGCATTTCCATCAATGGATTCGTGTTTCAACCTGCATTTTCACTTTTCAATTCGTTTAGCCGCTCAATCGTTTGTTTTCTATTTGTTTTAATCTTTTTTAATCAAACTCAATTCGTACTGTTTGTATCCTTTTCATCTTCTTCTTCGTTCTTAATTTTAGCGTTGGAAGGGATCCCCTTCCAACACAATTAAGGATACGTGTCAAATGGTTATGCGCCATTGAGGCCATTGACCAAGAACAAACTACAAGGCAGCAGTTGTTTGATTCTGGAGTTATCTCCCCAAAAGAGGATTCGAACTCGAGACTTTTCGGTTTAGCTACCTTGAGCTTTACCGACTCGACCACGCCGACCCCTTTTAAATACCCGCCTTAGGTGAGACATTTCGTAATTCCTAGTTCGTCAAAGTTGTTTATTGAAAACATGTTTTTTTTTTCCTCTGCTTTCAGACACCTGACCTTGTCTCATGTTTATAAGCTATGAAAATGGAAGGTCAGATGGGGTCGGTAAAGCTCATGGTTACTAAACCGTGAAGTCTCGAAGTCGAAAGTTGAGGGGATCCCTTCCAACACTAAAATTAAGAACAAAGAAAAAAGACGGTCAGAAACGGTCTAGTTTTGACGTGCTCAATGCTTCTTATGTTTACACTTCGGACCTAATGAACGGTTTATTTTTATTTTTTTTTAATTGGTCTTTCAGTTGCCAAACTTATCCAAGTCGCATGTGTATGCTATGAAAGTGAACGACAAGAAACGGCTGACTGTTATGCTAGGAGACTATGTGCCATGTCGAGTAGTGGGCTCGGATGGACTCTACCTTCTCTATGACTATTATATTTTTATTTACCAGTACTCACTTTCTGACTTTGAAATATTACCCTATACCAATATTGCTATTTTACGATTTCACGCTAGACTGTCTCTGTAAAAAAAAATGTCAAACAAAAATGTAACAAAGTCACCAAAACACATTACACAGTCACCAAGACACGTTAAGAAGTTTAAGTTAAAAAAAATCTAGCGGTAAATATGTCGTTGAAAATTGTTTTTTTCCCCAAACATGACATAATTACGAGGGCCTGTTGGTGAAGAAAGCGAACAGGACCAATAGATAGAAACTTGTCTGTTGTACTAGATTTGTAGCTTTGTTTTTATCTGGGGATCAATGTATTGATAATCACATTAAGCATTGATTATGTATTAATTTTAATACATTGTAAATTACAAATTTTAAAAGAGAAAACAGATTATATTATTAGCATGAAAAAGGTATTTTTTTTTCACATTATTTATTAAAAACAAACAAGGTTACAATTGAAAATCTGAATGTGAATTTTACGAATATAACTTTTAAATGTGTTTATCTTTCTAGCTTTGCGTTAATGTAAAAACTAAAGTTTAAAAAATCCCATTGTATCGTTTGAAAATGTATTCCTAATATATTTTAAAACTTAATGTTCAATAAATAAAACTCAAAGCAACATTGTTCGCTATCTACAAAACAAACCGACATACCATATATCAGACATCCTGATGGTAAAGTGGTAGAGTTATCGTCCCTGGTGCATTGTCGGACGAACTTAGTCTTGTGATTGTACACGACACATCCAGAGCTCTCAGACAAGAGCACTTCATCAGAGTTCCTTTTTTCTTAATACAATAGATACTAGGAATTAGCATAACTTTTTATTAATATTCCAATAGGCTTTATCTGGGTCTGATTAAAAAACGACCTAATACAAACAATTTATATATTATTAATACAAACAATTTATATCTATAAGCAAAATTTACAAGTTACCGAAAATCACTATACAATCATCAGTCTCTCTTTATATATAAATAAATAAATAAATGTATATATATATATATATATATATATATATATATATATATATATATATATATATATATATATATGTATATGTATATGTATATATATATAATATATATATATACATATATATATATATATATATATATATATATATATATACATATATATATATATATATATATATATATATATATATATATATATATATATATATATATATATATATATCATCTGGAGTCCTGCTCCTGGTACTCACCACTGTTACAGTCTTGCAGTACGTGCCCAGCCAGTTTACCGTCCTGTGCGCCACACACTTCGCTCACTTCACGCGCAGTGCTATTGGTGTACGATAAGCACGTGCTTGTCTTGCAGATATTATTCGGACAAGCCACACCTAAATGATGTCAACAAGTGATAGCAATAAGTTAAAATGTAAAAATTGACAAAGATTAGTGAAAGTGAAACGTTTAGGTAACTCATTTAAAATCAAAATGCTTTTGCAAATGCAACATTATTTAATATATCCTCATGATATTGTATTTGTTCTTACAATTTTATATAATAACTGCATATATTTCTATAAATATTTGTATATGATTTATTACTACAGGCATTTTATTTGTATATGTATGTATATAAATAAATAAATTATATATATATATATATATATATATATATATATATATATATATATATATATATATATATATATATATATATATATTATTGTTGTTTTTGTAGGAGAATATGTAAATATGTCTTTAGGCTTAACTGTTGGTTTCTGTGTGTTTCTGTCCGGATGTATTAACAAGTCAACCTATCATTACACATACACAAACTCAATGTTTATTCTCACTGATACGTTAGATGCTTACATATCACACATGTTTAGAAACAGACTACACGCTTTTTACAAACAAAAATAGTTTCATTATTTATATATATTTTTTGCAGTTCTTTTTAAATTAAACTTTTGAGTTTTAAAATATAATATAGTTAGTTTTTTTAATGTTTTTTCTTTTCTTTTTTTTTTGTTTCGTTTTGTTTTTACTTTAAAAAAAATTACTAGACTCTTTATTAAGACAATTATTTTCAACCAGTATAATTCCGTGAAGAACGCACAAATATTTTATAAGCCAGAATGTGAAAACTATACGTACGAATTTGTTTGAACTCAAAAGAATACGGTATAAGAATGGGGTAGCTTGCTTTGGCTTGAATGCTCTTCAAAGTGTAATCATCAGGCTTGATATCATATATATAAACATTAACACGATAATGAATGGGCGAGTTGTTGGTTGGTTCAATCTCGTAGCTGTATTTGATCTTCTCTGTTTGCATGGTGCTCGCCTTTTTGCTGATGTTTACACCGTTGAGCTGGAGGTGCAGTGGGTTGAAGATGCTTTGATTTGCAATGATACACAAGGAGATGTTTGCATGGCTGCCTATTGGTGCTAGGAATGTCTTGGGGGTGGGGGGATTTTTACACATGATTGGGTAGCCTGTAAGAGAAAAAAACATTATCAGTTGTGGTTATTTTTGGAGAGGAGTGTCAGTGATTAGCGTTATAATCCCTAAGGAAAGAGGAAAGTAGGCCGGCCAAGAAAATCCTGGGGAAGAACAGTAGAAAAAACGGCAAGGACTGTCGGGCTTAATGTTGGCGCATATGAAGAAAGGTGCCTGAAGCCCAGTACACGTGGCTGCAGCCCTTTGCTCCCCAGGGTCAATAAAAGAATATGTCAAAGTCAGTCACGTGTCAGCTATTAATAGATTAAATCAATAGTGTCATGAAACGCAATTCAATAATCAGTGTGGAAGCTATATACATAGATATATCTTGTCGGTTGCTATGAAACTGCGGAGAACCTAGTCTTTCTTATGTTTGTGCAAAAAAAAATGGAGCAAATTTAAGGACTAACAAAGTTTTAAAACATTTTTCTATTTTTTATAAATATTTTTTTTAATTGTATACGCGCAAATGCCCTAAATAGAACTTCGACAAAGTAAAATTGCTTAAATAGACGAGGGAACGATAGCCATAACTAGCTTTAGGCCTAAATAGTAAAAGAAAAAAGATCATGTTTCATACAGCTGAAGCGGCAAAGAACCAATACCTCATCTCGTTAATGATACAGCGGTTATTTCCCTCAGAGAGTTAAAAATACAAGACATTTGAAAGTACTTTTTGAAAAGATATGTTTCATATGCCCAAAATACATGAAAAAATAAAGGTCGTATACCCTGAGACACAAAATGAAACATAAAAACTTCTCGTCTGGTTAAAGAAGATTTTTAAAACTATACATTCAAGTATCATCTTTTATAGAAGATATTTACAATAATTCGTACAAGTATCATCTGTTATTGAATATATTTAAAACTATACGTACAAGTTTCAGCTATTATGGAACATATTTGAAACAATACGTACAATAATCAGCTGTTATAATACATATATATATATATATATATATATATATATATATATATATATATATATATATATATATATATATATATACATATATATATACGTATATATATACATATACATATATATATATATATTTATATATATATATATATATATATTATTTAACGTACAAAGTCAGCTCTTATAGAAGATATGTAAAACTATACGTACATGTATTAGTTACAACATAAGCAATGGAGTCGTCCAATATCTTCTCACCGACCCTAACGAGGCACCTGTAGGCACCTTGTGCCTCACATTTATTAGGTGTCAACGTGTATTCCAGTACTACGGTGTTCTTGGTGCTGTTTAAGACATGCCCGACTTCATCTGTCAGGGTTATGTTCGTGTTTTCACTTGCCGTGTTGATCTCACACCGAAACGTGAAATCTGTCTTCATTGGTATGACAATGGGTTGCCGATTGTCTTTTGAATATTGTATACCGTTGAGTAAGAATTTAGTAATGCGAGGCTCTTCTGAAAGAGAAATCGTAGTAAAACTCAAATAATTGGGGTTGTTTTTTTCAAGTTTTTTTTTCAGTATAAATCAATAACAATCACAAGATATTAAACTACACAATAGCTAATACAGATTACATTTCGTTAATTAATGTGCAGACTTAATTTAAAGATCAAGCTGCAATTAATGCAAACATTTATTTACACAACAGTTACCTGCTAAAACGGTCGCTGTGAATGAAGTAACGAGAAGTTGAAGCATCAGACATAACATCATTTTCATCTTTGATTCTTTACAATTGTATGGATTCAAATATCTTTAGCTCCTAAATATATATATATATATATATATATATATATAAAATAAGTACATATATATATATATATATATATATATTTACATTTATATACATGTATATTCATGTCTATATACATGTGTACTTATATACATGAAGGTCTACAAACATTTTCAAATATAAGGGTTGTATAAATTAATATACAACACAACTAATATACCTCAAGCTTTAGTGGGCTTAAAGCTACAATAGCATTTAGCAGTGAATGGTTAAAACGATTCACTGTCTGCTGGCCTCTGTATTTCAAGTGGATGAGTTGGTTACACGCTTTGAACTAATCAGACCAGCAGCTTGTATTGTGAATAGAAACACGTTTGTTGCCAGCTAATGAGTATTAAATTCCATTTACTTTTCATTTCTACAGTGTCTATGCGATGAGCTTTATATGAAACAAAACCACAATCTTTCGCAATAGCGTAGGTTGAGAAAATACGTAGTCTACTTAATTTTTAAAGTATACATTGGCGTCATCAGAACGCTCTTCATGATTCAGTCGTCATTTTTATCATACAGGAAATCACGTTTATTTTGCAACGTCTTTGCATGTGCGTCGATGGGTTTATGACAAGTCATGCGAGCTCAATTTTGACCGACTTCTTGTACAGCAATTTTATTCAAACTTCCCAGATGCGTTCTTCCTCAATGACAATACAATGATATCTATTTTTTTAAATCTAATTAGACATGAGATTAGTAATTGAAATCTAATTAACATATTACTGATTTCAATAATAAAAGTGGAGATAACTAGCTAAACGCGATCACATATAAGTCTTCTGAGCTGTGGTTTACGCAGAATGTTTACCAACGTAGAGAAAACTCAAGTTTGTAAAGGCTGTGAAAGCAGATAATTTTAAACGCATTTACAAGCTTTATTTTTAGTTCTCAACATCGGTTGTAGGTTTGTGGCAAATCTTATAACTCTGTTTTGACCAATTTCTAATGCAGCGATTATATTCAAACAATACAGATACTTTTGTCTTGAAAGACAATTTATTAATATAAACTTTGTTTTTTGCTTACATGACATGATATATTAGTCATTACAAATTAACTAAACGTTGGGCAGGGGCAGATATTCATCTTTCAGAGATCGCGAGCCAGTGAACTCTGTTTTAAAGCAATTATCTTTAGTGGTGACCTATATAAATTTCTTATACTAGTTATTTTTATCTTATTATTATTATTATTTAAATCATTTTTCTAAAAGACAAATCAATATGGTTATCCAAGATTTTATTAAATCAATTAATGATAATGTCACTTTAAAAAGATGCAGAGCCCTCGTTTTTTATTGTTCTGCTAAAGGAGGTGGATACTCGCGTCTTAAGAGGAAGTGATATTTACTTCAGTTTCCGTGTTGATGCACTATTGTCAACAATCAAACCAAAGTATTAAAAAAGTCCGGTATAAAATAGACTGACCACTTCGAGCAATCCTAGCCATACAATTTACAACATTTACCTAGAAACTGAACTAATATTTTCCCCTTCTCCACACACAAAAATGAAAAAACATAAAAAACGTTTTAATAACAAGCTTTTTTTTATAATAATGCACTAAAAGTAGAAACTAAATGATTTTCTTTAAATATATAACAATATTCTTCTATTTAAAACTATAAAGTAAAGCGTGAGTCACTATAATATTTATTGGATAACTTTACGAATATAAAAGAAGAGACCCACGCTTGTAAAAAAGGAAGAATTTCTCTTTAGAATTTTAATAATTTAAGTCTTAAACCTATATTCTGCAGCGATTTGCATAGAAAATAATTTGTATAAATTTATTCTAATATTCGAGTGCTTTTGTTTTGGTTTGGATGTGGTCGTGGGGACTTTTGGACACATGCTCGATGCACATTTTATGTATGTAGTATAGACAATGATCTCAGTATAATTTATACTCGTCGAAACTTTTAACAATCACAGAGTCATAAAACGTGAATAACGCTAGATATTATTAGAATTCATTGTTTATCCAAAACGACGCAATTTCACTATACAAACTGATTTTTTAATTTTGTCTACTATAGTTCAACTAGTACAGGGGTCTCCAAACTACGGCCCGCGGGCCGCAGCCCGCGAGGTCCTCTCATCCGGCCCGCGGAGATCTTTTTGTCCACGGAAAAAACGTTTGTTGGTGATAGCTGAGGAACTTTGCCCAGAAAAATCAAAGACAGGACTGGAAGAAATTGGCCCCCGAACTGAAATTTGATAGTCAATGCGGCCCTCGGACTGAAAAGTTTGGAGACCCCTGAACTAGTACATTAGGCAGAGTCCCCTCCCCCTACTAGATGAGCAATGAAATGATGATGGCTAAACCAACTAGGGGAAAAGGGCCAGATGTCGCCGGTGCGGCTCCTAATGGTGTCACCCCCCCCCCCCTAACACAAAAAAAATTACAGACTATATATATATATATATATATATATATATATATATATATATATATATATATATATATATATATATATATATATATATATATATATATATATATATATATATATATATAAGGTGTCACTTGCCCCTCCCATTTTGACAATTCGCGTGAATTTGTGAACACATTATTTTAAAATACAAGGAACAAAGTAACATTTCATGGTTTTCTAGATAGTTAGCATGGAATGCACCAACACCCCCCCCCCTCTCCTTTACACCCCCCTCGTTGTCGGTGGGGTGGTCAATTTGTAATTGAAAGAATTTTTAAACTGTAATTAATCATTAATTAAAATGGAAAAAATCTCTTTCTTCTCTAGTTAGAATTTTTTGCCTTGCTGTTACCCCCTTCCCAATTGGTGTCATCCGGTGCGATCCGCACCCTCCTCCCCCGCTTTGCGACGCCTCTGCCTTTCATACTTGATGTACACATATTTTATAAAGGTCATGTGAATGGGTGTTGCAAGAACACCAACACGCCTGTAAGGGTGATCCGGTGCAAAGCAAAAATATACGATGAATATAAACGAGAATAATTCGCCAATTATTGTAGTCTGTCTTCGTCTTTTCAGATAAAATATAATTCAGATTATGTAACTGGGTTCAAACAAGTTATTTCTGCGATTAGCGCAGTTGATATAATCAGCTGTATGAAGTGTTTTATGTTGAAAAACGTAGCACCTATCTGACACCTTAACAATAAAATCTCGTGTGTCATTCGTGGTTGTTGAAGCTATAAGATATTACTCTCTTTTTTAAATTTCTTTGATTAACTTTTTCCTCTTTATCTTCGTGAATTGTTAACGCACGCAACCACTTTTATCGAACATATGTGTTTCTAACGCCAACATGTCAAGGAAGTAAAAAAAATGATGAATTGTACCGACTTACATTTGTATTTCTGAGTGGTCCAGAAAGTGGCATGAAATTTTAGGTATTGAAAACAATGACACTAATAGTTCTTGTATTAAGAAATTTAAATTTAAAAAAATAAATAGAAAGAAAAGCGTAATTTTCAACTTCGACTAGGTTTGGTCTAGACTCTAAATATACAGTGCGTGAACTATGTGAGAGATACACTATGATGGCGTGCGGGGGTGAGGTGGGTCATGTTACTGTCAGTCTACCCTACCCTCGGGGAGGGGGGGGGGATAGGGGAACGCATAAGGCAGGGACGTCCGCCTTATCATGTCGTGAAGAAACAGTTTTCCCTTAGCTCAACCTCAATGTGACGGAGTAGCCTAGTAGTAGAGAGCTAGACTGCTAACCCGTAATTCTCGCGTTTGAATCCGGGTTCCAATCAGTAGAGTCCACTCAGCTCTGATGGGTACCTAACGTACATTAGGGAAAATAAAGGCTGAAGGGGCCTGTGCATAGTGCTAACCACACTATCCCTTTATGTTCTCAACCCAAGGTATCATCACATGTAGACAATACAAAATTACTTGGCTTGAAAATATCTTGCACAATTACACCAAGTGTAGGTTGTTGGAAAAGTAATCACTGGATTAGATAAAAGTATACAGTAGGGCCAAAAAAACAAACAATTGCAAGAAAATGAATAGGAAAACGAAAGTAGCTATGGCTTATACACGTTTGTACGTAAGTACAGTTGCCTTTGGAACCTGACTGTCTATAGAGTAGGTGAAGATGAGTTCATTTATTTGTTTTACTTCAGCACAGGGATAGTGTGGTCAGCACTATGACCCACCCCCTTTCAATAATGTAAGGCACCACAAGGTGGACTGATTTGAACCCGGATTCGAACTCAAAACGTTCGGGTTGTATCCGAATGCTCTACAATTTGACCACATCATCCCATTTACGTACACGTATGTAACTGGAACAAAGTACTTTTTATCTGGGCTAAAACTATTGTTTTAATTTTAGCTTGCAACTGAATATAATAACAAAATTGTTCATACACATTTCTAAACCATACATTTCATTTGTCCTAAAAAAGATACACTAAACTAAATTACTCTTCTCATTAAAAAGGATGTAGGCCTACTTGAAGCGAGTTCGTAGAACACTCAAGTTTTATGTCACGAAAACGTTAGATCCTGTGTAATGAGTAGACTCAAAAATTTCAATAAAGCATGTCTCAATCTATTTTAAACTTTAACTTAATCATCAAATCTTTAAAAATATAAAGAGTTTCCTTATCAGGAATAAAAACTCGCGGTGAAATTTTGCGTCAAAATACAACTCACCAGATAGTGCTTGAAACCTCTAATCTGACAATACAACACAGCCGGTAATTCCCCGTGAGTCATCCCGTGTGTAGAGGGTTGCACCAGACTTACGCAACAATTCGTGAGCGCTTGCACACACCCACGTGTACACTCACGTCTACTCGCACGCGCAACAAAAACGTACACATACACGCACAGATAAACGCATAGACACGCACACATACACGCACTCAAACGAACACAGAGTGTCTTTTTTATCTCCTGATACATACAACATGTATATGTAGCCGCAACAACAAGCGATGTATGCGTCTAGAATACATTTCGTTGGACAAGAGGTCTATTAATATTATTTCTTATTTTAATCACGGTGAATATTCAACTACATAAGTGTAGACATTTCACAATAAGCTTTTTGTATTCAATGGCTACATAAGTACATAATATAAGTGTATACATAATACTGCTATTGAAAATACTGGTGTGAACACTGTCCATTCTTGTTTGTTTTCATACACGGACCTCTGTACAGTGGCGTCGCTAAGTCGGGAGTCACACCCCCCCCCCCCCCGACACCAAGTCTCTCTCTCTCTCTATCTCGCTCTTCAGGGGTAATTGACAGGGTAATTTCCTATATATATATATATATATATATATATATATATATATATATATATATATAC